CATTACAATTATGGAAAGCCATACGAATGAAACAAAGGACTTATATAGAGAATGACATGAAATCTGCTTAGAGAAGGTGGTCAGGGAAGACCCCTCTGACCAGGTTACATAGGAAGTGAGACCAAAACCAATTGAGAATGGGGCAGCCATGGTAACATGGTAAGAAGAGCATGTGTGTTGTGTGTGAAAGGTCAGATATTGGAAAAAAATACATGTTTGTTCAAAGAACAGAAGGAAGACTGGTGGCCAGTGCATATGGAGGGAGGGAGATGATGTGTGAATTGGTGCAGAGGCCTAATTGTGTACTCAGTTGGTGCCTGATAGGCCAACTGATAGGTAAGGAGTTTACATTTTATTCTAGCTGTCTGGGGAAGCTACTCTGCCTCTCTTTAGAGAATGATTTGGAATGAGAGAGTAGTGGAAGCAGATTTTAGAATAAGTGGTTAGAATTTTATTTTAGATATGAACACAGAGTGAGGAAGCCCTAAGTATGACATACACACATACCAAAAAAAAGTTTGCTTTGACTGCAAAAAAATTAAAGACAAATGACAAACTGGGGAAGAAATATTTGCAAGACCCATCTCTCCCTGTTTTGACAGTACTGGGGGTTGAACTCAGTGCTTGCTAGGCAGGCACTCTACTGCTTGAGCCATGCCTCCGGTCTTTTAGTGTTGGCTATTTTTGAGATTGGGTCTTGCTTTTTGCCCAGGCTGGACTGGATTGCCATCTTTCTATTTATGTTTCCAGCAGTAGCTGTGATGACAGGTGTGTGCCACTGTGCTCAGCTTTTGGTAGAGATGGAATTTCATTAACTTTTTGCCTGTGCTGGCCTCAAACCAAGATCCTCCCAGTTTCTACCTTCTGAGCAGCTAGGGTTATAGGTGGAGCCACCAGCACCCAGCTGCAAGGACCCTTAATACTGGCAAGTCTCAACTATAATATAAATATATTTTTGTCTGTTGACATCCAGATACTTTAGACAAAAGATATGAACTGACAGTTCACAAAAATACAAATGTCCATTAAATTTATGGAAACGTGGAACTCCACTCTTTAAAATGCAAAGTATGAGATGCAAGTTTTCTTTCCCTTCCCTTTCTCCCCCTCTCCCCCTTCCCTTTCCCTTCTTTTCCCTTTCCCTCTTTTTGAGATAGGTCTGCTGTTTCTCAGTCAAGTCTTGAACTCATAATCCTCTTGCCTTATCACCACACCTGTTGAGACCTCATTTTTCATGTGTGAGATTGTCAGGGAGGCTGTTAAATAGCATACAGTGTTGGCGACAAGTGTAGGGAAACAAAATCCTCAATACATAGGTGGTGAGAGTGTAAATTGGTTCATGTTCTATAGAGAGTAATTTGGCAATGTCTACCAGAATTTAAAATGTACACCCTTTTAGGAATGTTTCCAACAGGAAGACATTTTGGTTCACCAAATAAAGGATACAGTACAAATCTTCTAAAGAATGAAGCAGCTGGTACTATGCTCCTTTGCCTAGCCACCACTGTTTTATCCCCTTTCCATGGTGTCCTAATAAATCTTTGCTTTCTCCTAAAGAAAAGTGAAGCAACTCTGTTATTTTAAAAGTGAATAGAGTACAAGAGATATTGAGAGAAAGAAAGAGACCACACAAATATTATTACAGTATGTTGCTATAATTATACTACTGGGGGGAAGTCAGTGCTGTGATTTGAACTTAGGGCCTCATGCATTGCTAGTCAGATGCTCTTACCACTTGAGCCAATCCACCAGCCCTGAAGCAACTCTTTATTCAGATTTTTTTTTTGCTATACTGGGGTTTGAACTTGGAGCCTTGCACTTGCCAGGCAGGTGCTCTACCACTTGAGCCACTCTGCCAGCCCCAAGATACATTTTTAATTAAAAAAGGTAAACAACAGTGTAAGGTATGGTACACTCATCTAAAAAAAGGGAAAAAAACCCATTATGTACCACAGCTGGGGATATAGCTCAGAGTTAGAGCTGTTGCCTGGTATGTAAAGGCCCTAGGTTAAATCCTCACCCCCAAAAGAAAAAAAAGTACTCTGTCCCTGGGATGAACACAAAATACCAGAAACATTTTGCCTCTGGGAAGGGAACTGAGTGATGGGTAGAGAACAAGTGAGGAGGAGGTTTACTTTTCATTTTATACTTATGTGTATATATTGACTATTTAAAAATTGAAACAAAGGGTGGGGAGTGAGGAGAACAATCTGGAAGTTGTTACAGTTGTCCAGGAAATGATAATAGTGGTAGTGATCTCTCTATATATAGATATATCTCAATATATCTATATCTATATATCTAGTATATATATATGAATATATATATACATATATACGAATATATGTACATATATGCAAATATATATATATATATTTTTTTGTGATACTGGGGCTTGAACTCAGGACTGTGCTTGCCAGGCAGGTGCTCTACCACTTGGGCCACATCCTTAGCCCTTTTTGCTTTAGTTTTTTTTCAGGTTTTTTGTGTGTGTGATACTGAGGTTTAAACTCAAGGCCTACACCTTGAGCTACTCCACTAGCCCTTTTTTTTGTGTGAAGGGTGTGTTTTCAAGATAGGGTCTTGCAAACTATTTGCCCAGGCTGGCTTCAAACTATAATCCTCCTGATCTCTGCCTCCTGAGTAGCTAGGATGACAAGTATAAGCCACTGGCGCCTGACTTAGCTATTTTTTGAATGGGGTCTTGGGTTTATGCTGAGCTGGCCTGGACCATGATCCTCCTATTTATGCTTCCCACATAGCTGGGATGACAGGCATGCACTACCACACCCAACTTTTTATTGGTTGAAATTGGGCCTCTCGAACCTTTTCCTGGACTGGCCTTGAGCCTGAATCCTCCCAGTCTCTGCCCCCTAAGTAGCTAGGATTATAGGCATAAACCATCATGCCTGGCTCAAGATCTTTTGCTTTTTTTTTTCCAGCAGCACTGGGGTTTGAACTCAGGGCCTTACACTTGCTAGGTAGGTGCTCTTACTGCTTAAGCCACTCCAGTTGATCTTTTGCTTTTTAAAATTTGAGATTAAATTAATCAGATTTGCTGATGAAGGAAGTGTGAGAAATGAGGGAAGGAGAAGAATCAAAGATGAGTTCCAGGCTGGGCCTGTGTTCAAGGCCAGCCTGGGCAAAAAGTTAGCAGGATGCCATCTCAACCAATAAACTGGTATGGTCACACACACCTGTTATTTCAGCTACATGGGAGGCATAAATAGGAGGATTCTGGTTCAGGCCAGCCTGGGCAAATACTTATGACCCTACCTTAAAAATAACTTACAGCAAAACCGGTGCTGGTGGCTCACACCTGTAATCCTAGCTACTCAGGAGGCAGAGATCAGAAGGCTCATGGTTTGAAGCCAGCCTGGGCAAATAGTTTGTGAGACCCTATCTCGAAAAAGCCCATCACTTAAAAGGGCTAGTGGAGTAGGTGTAGGCCCTGAGTTCAAATGCCAGCACCACACACACACACACATTACCCTAAAGCAAAAAGGAATGGGGGTGTGGCTCAAGTGGTAGAGTACTTGAGACTCACAGTACCTCTTAAAAAAAAAAAGGATGATCCCAGGTTTCTGTTCAGTCGGTGGTGGAGTTGAGATTTTATCTGTATGTTGGTTATCTAAGGCAGTGTTGTGTAGGCTCCCAAGCTTGACTGCCTAGGCTGAAATTCAACTTTTTCTACTTCCTAATACTATGACCTTGTGCAGATCATGTAATTCTGCTTAGGTTCCTTAATCTGTAAAATGGGACTAATAATATGACCTACCCCTGAGGGTTGTTATAAGGATTAAATGAGTTAATTCATGAATAATTTTAGAGTAGCCCCTGGCATATAGGAAAAGGTAGACAGTTATCCCTCCATATCTATCTGTGGGTGATAGTTTCCAGGACCTCCTGTGTGTTCTAAAATCTACAGATATTCAAGTTCCTTATATAAAATGGCCTAGCATTCGCATATCACTTACTCACACCCTCATCTATATTTTGAATAATCTTTAAGTTACTTATAATATCTAATACAGTGTAAATGCTGTATAAATATTATACTGTATTGTTTAGGGAATAATGACAAGAAAAGTCTGTAGATACTTAGTAGTAGCATAATTTTTTGAATATTTTTGATCCATGGTTGGTGGAATCCATAGGTGTGGAACCCATGGATATGGAAGGCTATGTGCAGTGGACTCGGTATCCATGGCTGTCTGGTTCCAAGTAGACCACCGTTGAGGAAAACCCGCAGATACTCAGGATGCTTTAGTGTTCTGTGCATGCTTGATTCATTTCTCCCATGATGCTGCCCAACTTCTGCTAAAGGCATGCTGCCTTTCAGTAAATCTCAGATTTTCACCTTATCAGTTAAATTTAGCACGTTATGTGCCCTTTTCATCTTGGGAGGATTACCATAACTTTTACCTTGCTTTTTGGGCACCATTTGCTCTTGCGGAGACACATTTTCCCAAAATTTAGGGCGGGGAAACACTCAGCAGATCACACAATGATTTAAACACAACGGACTGACTGAGGGCTTCTCCCCACCAACTAAGCTGCATAATACATGCACAGGAATTTAAAATTTTTGGTTCTGAAATTTATTTTGATTTTTTAATTGTTTGACTGCACTTGGTCAACACTACACGTAATAAGGTAGGCTTATTGTTAGTTGTTGCTGCTGTTATTATTGTTCTTACTACAACTCCAATTGCCATTATGACTAGTATATTGCTCCCCTTGTTCCTCCTCTGTTAGAGAGGTACCTGATTCATATTAGGGGCTCAATAAATACTTGTTGAAAGAAGGAAGGAATGCTGGAGCTGTAAAACTAATACACTGTGTAACCAATTGATCTATGTAATAAACATTTGAACTTTTAATATGAGGGAATGAGTGATGATGAGTGATAAGTGAAGTGAAGAAATAAGGTGGTAAGGTCAGTTGGTTATGAGATTTGCCCCTACATTTTTATTTTTTACCTTCTATTTTCTGTGCAGGCCTGAAGGCATTGAACGACAATACAGGAAGAAGTGTGCAAAGTAAGTATTAATAGTTCTGTTTCTCCAAGCATAGGCAAATAGAGGCATAATGTGTTAGGAAAATAATTATTTGATTACATTTTTCTGATATGTCTCTATCCTATAATCTTGACTGCCTTCAAATACCAGTATGTTTCTCAAAGACACTAGTCAAAGTTATATCCCCGACTAGCTGACCATAAAAAAGTGAAAGGTTTTTTGAAGTAGGGACTCACTGTATTGCCTGGGTTGGCCTCAAACTTTCAGTCCCCCTTCCTCAGTCTCCTGAGAAGCTGGGATTACAGGCATAAGCCACCATACCAGGCAAAAATGAGTTTTTAACATGGTATAATTTTTTTAAAATGAGATGTAATTTATCTGGGATAAAATATTTTAAGTGTACAACTTGGTGAGTTTTAACAAAAAAACATAGCCATGTAATAACACCACCACTGTGATATAAAACATTCCCAGCACTCCATGTGCCCTTTGCAGCCAATCCCTTTTCTCCACCTCTCTCCTGGTAAGCACTGCTTTCTGTCACTATGATTTTGCCTCTCCTATAATTTTTTCATTGTTTTCTGTCTTTTGTCAGTACTGGGGTTTGAACTCGGGGCCTCATGCTTGCTAGGCAGGCACTCTACTACTTGAGTAACTCCACTAGCTGCCTTTCCTAAAATTTTTTGTAGATTCTATAGTGTGTGTTGTACAACATAACAACATGCATCTTTTGCAACAGGTTTTTTTCACTCGGTATAATGCTTTTGGGGGATTCACCCAAATTGTCATGTATATCAATAATTTTTCCCTCTTTATGGCCAAGTAGTATTCCGTGGTATCAGTTTGTTTATCCATTCATCCATTAAAGATATTTGAGTTGTTTCTGGTTTGGGCTATTACCAATAAAGCTTCTGTGACTATTGTGGTATAAATCTTAGTGTGAACATATGTTTTTTCCTGGAATGGAATTGGCTGGATCATGTGGTAAATGTAACAGTATAATTTAATGCAGATATCTTTATAAAACATAGGGCCATAAATCTAAGAATGTTAGTTTAAAGAATATTAATTAAAGTAAAAATTATAATATTAACCTACAGAAAGTTCCACCTTGTCTTGGAAGACTCACACTAGCAGAATTAAAGCAGAGGAAAATAGGTAAAGAAGACATTTTACTTCTCAGCCATACTGGATTGATGAAATTGGTTTATAATGTCTTATAGGTCTACTTTGTTTAGTTTAAAAAGCTTAATAATGGCCAGCCAAAGAAAGTGGCAGTTACTACAGAGTTTAGTTTGTCAACCACAACAGTGGAGCATTTACACTCCCCTTGATGCTGCAAAACAAAACTAAACAAAATACCCAAGCCAGTTAACCTGCGCAGAATGGTAGCAGTTTGGACTGCAAAGCAATCAGTACTATGGGCCAGCATTTCCCAAACTTGTGTGTAATGACAATAATCACTTAGGATGCTGATTAAAATGACAAATACCTAGGCCCCCTACATTTGCTGAATCAGGATCTGGGAGGAACCTAGAAATCTGATCAGCAATTTTAACAAGCACCCTAAGTGAATCTTATCAAGAGCTAATCATTAGTTTATGCCACAAGCAAAAATACTCCCTGAGCCTAAGCACACTTTGCAAATCATTGTTTGGGGATTTGGAATTGGAGGCCTCCCAGCAATTCACTGTGCCTTTGCAGGTGTGGACTACCACTCTTCTACCAGTCCCAGCCGAAGAATGCTCCTGTGACCTTCATTGTGGATGGAGCAGTAGTGAAGTTTGGCCAGGGTTTTGGGAAAACAAATATATACACTCAGAAACAAGAGCCTCCTAAAAAGGTAATTATTATTGAAGGAGACAGACTACTTGAAATAGCTGTAGATTTAGTCCCAATTTTTATTTATTTTGATTCCTTTGCCATGTTCAGGATCAAACCCAGGGCCTTGTGTATGCTGGGCAGGGACCACTGAACTATATCCCAGCCCCCAAGTTTTAAAATAAGGATATAATGCACAAAAAAACTTCCCTGTACGGCCACATTCTTTATTTAAAGAGCGCTATTTTTTTTGTATAAGCAGATGTTACATAATTGTAACACCTATAATTTGTTTTTTTCTTTCCTACAGTTGCTTTGAAAGTAAGGTTAGAAATTGTATGGTTTTCATTTTCCTTTAAAATTGCTTCTTTTTCCAGTGTGAATAATTAAACAAAGAATGAATTAGGCTAATTTTAAAATATACTTAAAAACCCCTTGATGGCAAATGTTACAAAAATATAGTGTAAATGAAAGCATTGGTACTTTTAAATAGTCAGCCTGTCTCAAAGAGGCAGGTATACCACAATCCTGCACATAGGCATGTGTGTGCATACACGTGTACACACACACACACACACACACACACACACACACCACACACACACACACACACACACACACACACGGCTTATGGATCTTCTGAGAGTGAAATAGTGAAATTAGCCTGGCTCCTCTTTGTGCTACTCCAGGTGATGATGACCAAACGGACTAAAGACATGGGCAAGTTCAGCTCTGTAACTGTGTCTACCATTGATGAGGAGGAAGAAGAGATTGAGGCTGTAAGTGCTTGGAGTTGGGGATGGGAGAGGAAGGGGACTCCAGAGCCAGAGTGCCTGCATAGCAGAACAACTAGAGACTTTGCTCTCAGACCCTGCTCTGCTAGTAAAAAAAAAACTTTGTGACACCGGGCTAGTGCCTGTGTTCCTGCATCTCAGGGACATCTGCAAAATGAGAACAAAGGAGTTGGATTCTCTTTATCCTTCTTTAATTTAAAACTACTTAGATTCTGAATGATTTAGGTCCCCGCTAGTCCAGCTCGAATGGTCCATAAGTGTGTTCTTAGCAGTAGCAGCAATTCCCCTTCTGGTACCTCAGTAGAATGATGTTTTTGGAGAGGTGTTATCTGTAATTTTAAGAATGATCTCCGTTAACCTGAACTCCAGATTCTTGAAAAAATGAAGCATTGGAAGTGAAGAGGCCTGCCATTTTAGTTATGATTCCTGGCTTGAACGTTAAATTGCTACTATGGTTTCCTTTGTAGTTCCTTTGGTGAGAGTGCTGGGTTGAGGACATTTCTTTTTTCCTTCAGAGGGAAGTTGCTGATTCGTATGCACAGAATGCCAAAGTGATTGAAAACAACTGGAGCGCAAAAGGCATGAGTAAGAGGCGCCTGCAAGAGCTGGTGAGTGGCATGGAGTAGAATGGTGCAGGGCTTCCTAGTTTGGATTCTTGTTCTGAACCATTATCTAGAGGCAGGGAATCCTTAGGAAGCTTGTTGGAAGTTACTAAGATGTTGGCTGCCAGCTTTCTAACCTGGCCCTGTGACTTTTGTTACACCCTGCATCTTTATAGCAGTGGCTTCAGGGCTAGGCCACTTTTTAGATTAGCCTAAGTAGGGGGGATGTTTTAGTCTACTACTTTTGGTTAAAGGTCAAGAGTTAAAGGTCATGGTTTCTGGATGTCTTCATGATGTAATGCTGTACAATAATTCTACCTTGGTGTTAACCTGTAAATTGGGGCTGTCATTGCTGCTTTTCTTCTTTCTTTTTTTTTCCAGTACTGTGTTTTGAAACTCAGCGACCTTCCTGTTGCTTAGGCAAGCACTTCTACCACTTGAGCCACGCCCTCAGTTTGTGGTCTTGCTTCTTAAAGCAGTGAGTAGTTTTCTGCATTTTCACTGGCTCCTTCTATTAGACATGGACCTCTATTACATGGTTGATGCCTACAGTTTTAGTTTTTTTCGGTAATAACTTACAGTATTTAATTAAACTCGACATTACTGCATTGAACATCATCAGAAGATATATCAGTAGCTGGGCCCATGGTGGCACATGGCTATAACAATTCCTATTTCTTCAGGAAGGCATAGTCAGGAGATCACAAGTTCAAGGCCAACCAGCTGGGCAAAGTTTAGCAAAACCCTTGTTATCAAAAAAACAAAATTCCAAAATGAAAGGAGTGGCGTGTGGTGGCTCAAGTCGAGATAGATCACTTTGTCATATCAAGAAGAGACCCTGAGTTGACCCCAGTACCATCATAAACAACAGCGTATACCGTTTCTTCTAATGACTGTAGCTGGAGTTTTGGTGATGTTAGGAATTGGAGCCCAGTTTCTGTTTTACCTTTGCCATAGTGGTCTAGACAGTACTTCTCAAATCTTTCTAAAACGATGAAAGGCACAGTGTTTCCTTTTTTTGATTTCCAATTTTTGTGATTTTGTAAAACACAAAGGAAAAAGGGAAACTGGCCTCAATGTGTATTATCATAGATTGTTTTCTTATTACAATTTCTGTTTAAATTGATGCAAAGTTTCTAAGTGTTTTTACTCTCAGTTTTTGTATGTTACATTGCGCAATGGGCAGATAGACATGTTCATGAACCACACGTTAAGGCCAGCACTTCTTTGCGAATGGGCTGTTTCTTGCTGTTTCTTGCCAAGAAGTAGGATAACTGTGTGCCATGACATTTGATTCCCTGAGCCTTTGGGACGGTGCTGGGTCCTGGAAAATCTCTACTTTTTCTTGGGCCCTACCTTTGTTAATTCACCTACAAATATGTTTTGCTTACAAGTATCATTTTTCTTCTAGGTTTCTCTCAATATTAGAAAGTTTGGAAAAACAGTTGCTAGATCACTATAAGGATTTTAGAACTACTTCTAAGTTTGATATAATTAATAGCTATGAAGGCGGAGTATTTGGGGACCAGATAAGGAAGGAAAATAGAGTTTACTTTGTTGATGTAAACAGTTTTTGTTTTTTTTTTCTTTTTCCCCATTCCAGGCTGAATTTGGAGGCCAGAAAGCAAAATATGAAGGGGGACCCCTGATTGACAACCAGTTCAAAGTGACAGGACCTTTCAGACTAGAGGCAAGCACTTAGGTCAGGAAAAAAATCGCTTCTTCAATGCAGGAGAGTATCCACAATACCTGACTTTCAACTATATTACCAAAGCAATAACATAAAACAGCATTGGTACTGGCCACAAAACAGACATGAAGACCAGTGGAACAGAATAAGAGGTTCCAGATATGAAGCCACACAACTATAAGCAACTTTCTTTGACAAAGGAGCTAAAAATATACAATGGAGAAATAGCAGCCTCTTCAACAAAAACTGCTGGAAAACTGGTTAGCAGCTGCAAAAAACTGAAACTAGATCCATGTATATCACCCTATACCAAGATTTAACTCAAAATGGGATCAAGGGATCTTAATATCAGACCCCAAACTCTTAAGTTGATACAGAAAGAGTAGGAAAATACTCTGGGAGTTAGTAGGTATAGGTAAGAACTTTCTCAATGAAACCCAGCAGCACAGCAACTAAGAGATAGCATAGATAAATGGGAACCTCATAAAACTAAAAGCTTCTGTTCATCAAAAGAAATGGTCTCTAAACTGAAGAGAACACCCACAGAGTGGGGAGAAAAATATTTGCCCAACTATACATCAGACAAAGGACTGAATAACCAGACTTATACAGGGAACTTAAAAACTAAATTCTCCAAAACTATGAACCAATAAAGAAATGGGCAAGTGAACTAAACAGAACTTTCTCAAAAGAAGAAATTCAAATGGCCAGAAAACACATGAAAAAATGCTCACATCTCTAGCAATAAGGAAATGCAAATTAAAACCACACTAAGATTCCACCTCACCCCTGTTAGAATAGCCATCATCAGCAACACCACCAACAACAGGTGTTGGCGAAGGATGCGGGGAAAAGGAACCCTCTTACACTGTTGGTGGGAATTGTAAAGACTAGTACAACCACTCTGGAAAAAAAATTTGGAGGCTACTTAAAAACTAACATCGATCTACCATTTGATCCAGCAATACCACTCTTGGGGATATACCCAAAAGACTGTTACTCCAGAGGCACCTGCACACCCATGTTTATTGCGCACTATTCACAATAGCCAAGTTATGGAAACAGCCAAGATGCCCCACCACTGACGGAATGGATTAAGAAATGTGGTATCTATACACAATGGAATTTTATGCAGCCATGAAGAAGAACGAAATGTTATCATTTCGCTGGTAAATGGATGGAATTGGAGAAATCATTCTAAGTGAGGTTAGCCTGGCCCAAAAGACCAAAAATCGTATGTTCTCCCTCATATGTGGACATTAGATCAAGGGCAAACACAACAAGGGGATGGACTATGAGCACATGTAAAAGCGAGAGCACACAAGGGAGGGTGAGGATAGGTAAGACACCTAAAAAACTAGCTAGCATTTGTTGCCCTTAAGCAGAGAAACTAAAGCAGATACCTTAAAGCAACTGAGGCCAATAGGAAAAGGGGACCGGGTACTAGAGAAAAGTTTAGATCAAAAGAATTAAACCTAGAAGGTAACACCACGCACAGGAAATCAATGTGAGTCAATGCCCTGTAATAGCTATCCTTATCTCAACCAGCAAAAACCCTTGTTCTTCCTATTTATTGCTTATACTCTTCTTCTACAACAAAATTAGATAAGGGCAAAATAGTTTCTGTGGGTATTGAGGGGGGGGGGGAGGGGGCGGAGTGGGTGGTAAGGGGAGGGGGGTGGGGGCAGGGGGGAGAAATGAACCAAGCCTTGTATGCAATATGAATAATAAAAGAAAATGAAAAAAAAACTGTAATAAAGTCAGGCA